AGTAGACGCTTCAAGTAGCGATAGGAAAAACTCACTAACTACCACATCTGCGTTTTGCGCCTCTTCTTCAACTGCAGCTGAATCGAGCTCTCCCTGCACGACGCGGACTTTAGAGTAAGCCTGGGAGATTTTCGCGCCCTTGTCGGCGTCTCGAACAAGGACAGTAATTTCGTACTCGGGGTGCTTTTCGCTCAAGGCATACAGGACATCCCCGCCAATGTAGCCTGATGCGCCAGTTCTAAAATACGGTTAGTCAAACCTCACTATATCTTTCACATCCGTGTAGTTTAATTGCGGCGACGGGGTAACATACAGGAAGATCCGAGTCATGATGCTATACTCAACAATCAAGTGCTGTGAAGTAAAAAGACTAAACAAGCTGTTGACAAGCTATCTTAATTGAATACACAATGTGAAATTAAGGAAACAAAGAGGGGGCACCCCTCCTTGATCCCCTCATCACCTCATCAAACAAAAGCTGGAAATTAAACGGGCAAGTGAATCCGCGGAAAAGGATCAGCGTGATAACGATTTGGATCTCCATCCGCCCCACTCTTCCCAAATGGGACAGTGATTGCTATATTCAGAATTCCAGGACCTGCTGCCAGTTCACGTCTAGTCAGTACTGAATTGAGGGACTCCTGATTCGTCTATACTGAGATGTAATGACCCCGAGATGGTCTGTCTGGGAAAGTTTGCTCGAGAGAGTTCGCGTCTAGTGCTGTGGTCTGACCACAAAAATGTAGCAGCTTCCACGAACTATATATTCTAAATTTCCAAAGCTCCCGTCAGTTGTAGAACTAAGTTTATATACCCCAGATTTTTATTCTTGCCTTCCTCATCGCCTGAAGATTAACATTGGAAAGTGGCAAAATGGCGCACCGTGGAGAGACATTGCACAAGGACATTTCCTGCATCGCAGACCTAAAAGCTGAAGGAAGCAAAAGGCTTCCACGGATGGTCAGAGGTGTGTTTGATCTCTGCCTTTCCAGCCAGGACACAAGCTCATAAGTCCACCACACAGATTACTACAATGAAGGAGCCATGGACCTGATCACGTATGTCAATGGCCACATATCAACCTCCAAATAGACACAAAATATACCTCAACATTACTAACCACACCATATCCCAACATTCAGACTCCGCGAGAACGAAGCAGCCTTCGATCGCTACAAAATCCGTCCCCGGATCCTAATCAACGTCGACCAAATCGACACATCAACAGAGATCTTCGGCACAAAAGTACGTCCCTATTGAACACCAACAACCTCCACCCAAAACTAACAGAATAAATCCAAGGTCGCCTTCCCCCTAGGCTTCAGTCCCGCGGCATCCCAGAAACTCGCCCACCCAGACGGAGAAGTAGCAGCCTCGCGCGCAGCCGCAAAATACAATGTATGCATGGGTCTATCATCGTATTCGAACTACTCGCTTGAAGACGTGGCTGCGCAGGGCTGTGGAAACCCTTATGCGATGCAGATGTGTGTGTTGAAGGATCGCTCGCTTACACTTCAATTGTTGGAGCGTGCTGAAAGTGCGTTTCTCGGTTCTACATCCATTCTATCTATCAACTGATGAATACTTATGTTGAAACTTAGAGGCGGGATACAAGGCCCTATTCCTCTCGGTTGATGTGCCTTTGCTCGGAAAGCGGCTGAATGAGTATCGTAACAATTACACCCTCCCTGAGGATATGTCATGGCCCAATATCCTCAGTCATGGATTGGATACATCTAACCGAACGGACTATGGTAAGTTTATCGGTTAACTCTACCAATTTGGTTTATGAACAAGTCACTGACTGACCCACAAAAAGACCCAAGCCTCGACTGGGAAACTACTATCCCCTGGCTCCGGAAACACACCAAGCTCCAGATCTGGTTGAAAGGAGGTACGTATAGCTTGATGTGCAAGTATAAAACCAAACATACAGCTCACATCACATGCAGTGTACACACCAGAAGACGTTGAGCTCGCCATCCAATATGGTGTTGACGGCGTTATCATCTCGAACCACGGCGGTCGCCAGCTCGATGGAGTCCCCGCGACTCTAGATGCACTAAGAGAATGTGCGCCAGTGGCACAAGGACGGATCCCGCTCGCTGTTGATGGTGGAATTCGGCGAGGCTCGGATATTTTCAAAGCTTTGGCGCTTGGGGCGTCGCATTGCTTTGTGGGACGGATCCCTATTTGGGGGCTTGCGGTATGGTTACTCATTCTATCTTTGGGAATTTGGATTTTTAAAGATGCAGGGGCTGACTTGACTTGTTTTCCTAGTGGAATGGGCAAGAGGGTGTCGAGTTGGCTATCAAGATTTTGTTGCAGGAGTTCCGAATTACCATGGCATTGGCTGGGTAAGTTTTAATATATTCTAGCGTATGATGGGGAGGAGAATGCTAATCTTGACTAGGTGTCGGTCGGTGAAGGAGATCAGAAAGAGTCATTTGTCGGTGCTTAAATCCGATGGACTGTTATCGAAGCTATGATTGAGTTGATATTTGATTCTAGTTGATCATGTGGACAGTATATTATTTGAAGATAATCTTATATTTTAGCATTATTAAGCCATGAACTTTTGATTAATTCTATTCCCGTGCCTATTTTTGGAAACCCAGCAATGCAATGCAATGCAACGAAAGAAATCATTTAGTAGAATAGAACTTACTGGACTGATTAGCATTAAATGCTATTCAAGCCTTACTGCCCAGTCGGGGCAGTCGAACGCGGAAGTGCATCAGAAACATGAGCGCACCCCACAGTGCTGCAGAGAAGAAGGTCAGACGGAGCGCTGCCGCATACGCACCCACAACTATACCAGTATTAGCCCAAGCATATAAATTAGGAAGTGTGAAGAAAGATAGACTTACCCTGTTCTTGGTGGACTGGGTCCAGTTTCACAATAGCCTGGACTGATTTGCGGACGAGAAGGATTATACTTTCCTTTTCGGGCCCTGTAACCATTTCTTCAAGTTGGTATACAAGGGTGTTCTGGAATATCCAACTGCTTGTCGCCACACCCATCACCGAGCCCAAATTTCTCCACAGGCCCAAGGTTGTGGTGGCCACGGCCTGTTCATCCGGATCACTGGTGGCGAGAACGGAGACCATCAACGAAGGAAAAGCGAACCCCTGTCCAAAGCTTGCGAGCGAAACACATAACATGGCAACTACATCGGGGGTGCCCATACCAAGGGTGGATGCCGCGAGGCCTCCCAGCAGGAGACAAACATCACCAATGATCACGGTTGGCTTCAGTCGTTTGGTCCATGTGATGATGAAGCCAGTCGAGACGCTCGAAACCGTCACGGCGAGGGTGGACGCTACCAGTCTGAGACCCGAGTCAGTTGGACTAGCGAGTTTGACTGCCTGGAAATACAACGGAGCGTTGAAGATCATTGTGTTGACAGCAATAGACCCAAAGAAGTTACCAAAAATAAGGTTGGCGCAGGGCTGCTTCGACAGGAGCGATATCGGCATCACGGCCCGCTCCACGGTCCGCTCATATCGTACGAAGATCACAGCTAAGATGAGAGATAGAACCAAAGACGAAATGACCAAGGGGTGAGACCAGCTGAGCACATTACCGCCCAAATTTAGACCCATAATCAACGAGGTCACACCGACTACCAAGATGAACGAGCCCACCAGGTCAATGTTCTTGAGCAGCTGCAAGAAAGTCATCCGTTCCGTCTTCGCCCTCTTCAGGCCCAAATCGGCTGGGGTGGTCCAGGCTGCCACGAGGAAATAAACGAAAATGAAAGGCAGCTGCACGAAGAACGCACCTCTCCACCCTACGTGGTCACAGAGAAACCCGCCAAATGCCAATCCCAGGCAGCCTCCCACGCCCAGACACAGATTGATGTAGGACTGGTAGACTCCGCGGTATTCGATGCGAACCAAATCGCTCGACAAAATCATACCCATGGAGAAGACACCCCCGGCTCCAAGCCCGCAGAAGGCTCGGGCCGCTATAAAGCTCCCGATACTCTGGGCCATGCCACACCATGCGGTGGTGAGGAAGAAGACGGCAATAGCGAAAAGATATACCGGCTTCCTGCCAAAGGTGTCGGATACGCGGCCGAACAAGGGAAGAAAAGCGGTTGAAGTCAGAAGGAAAGCTGTTGACAGCCACGATGCAGAGTTTGAGGCATGGAAATGGGATGTTATGACGGGGTGACTTGACGCCATTAAAGTCGAGTCGAAGAATCCAATAATGTATCCCATTTGGACCCCGCCGAAAATTAGCCAGAACCTCGTCGGGGAGACATTGATAAATCGAGAGGCATAACCGGTAGATTCACTCGGAGACTTGCCTTCGGGATCTACCGCTGCTTTCTTGGAGGCTGTCCCAGCCGAAGGAATTCTTTCAAGATTCGGTTCGATTTCCAGTCCCTGGTTTATGGAAGTGACTCTAGAGAGGGTGATCACAGGCTCCTCATCATCGGAAGTGTATGGTGTGGATGAATCACCCGTCTCTAGAGCGTTGTTGCTATGCTCACTAGAGTAGTTTGTATGAGATTGTTCATGATTGAGGAGAGGAGTTGACTCATTGACGCCAACACGTGATGATTGCGGGTTTTCATGCATCCCTCTAGGAAAGTGGTGGAGGTGAGAAAATGTACTGGTTAAGAAGGGAAAACTTTTTTCTTTTTTCTTTTTTTTTTTTAAAAAAAAATCCGTCTAGACAGTAATAAATTGACCTTCTGAAATCTTTTCAGACTTTGGAGTTAAAAGTATAAAATCATCTCAAGAATAAAGTCGCTCGTGGGTTGCTACAGTCTAGTTAAATAGGAGAAAATCTTGGTCGCAATAGGCTTTTCAGTCCAGAAATTTTTATAGTCGAGGCAGTACGATGGGAAAGACGCTAATGCAGTGAGTTGGAGTCAGTGTTGTGACTCGAGCCAACCCTGTTCCAGTGGGGTTCCTTCGGCTCTCCACTCGGCTGTGGAAAGACGGAATGGTTGAATTTCTCTCTCCATTGAATCACTCATTGCACGTTATAAGGTTCAGATGTTGTGAGTCAACTCCGAAATGTATGCTGAGGATCGATAATCCCATCTCCCCTTTCCCCTCCATACAGAAGAAGAAGACCGAAAAAACATCAAGACGGCCGAGGCTAATGAAAATGCCGCATGCATGTCGCTGCACTGACGGTATTTCAACCCCTCATTTGGTACTGATAAGTACGGCCTGTTGATAAATCTGTGACCCACTTTGTCTTTCTTACCTTACATTGATTGTCTTAGTCTCTTTTCTTCTATTCCGCTGCGACCTGTCTATGGTCAGATTGGGACCTGATGACCAAAATGCCCCCGGAATTGTGTCATCCGCACCAAGTGTTCATGCATCCATACGAAGTATATTGCCGCTTTCCCACTGGTTGACTTCCCCGTGTAGCCCCATCGAGTCCCCAAAGGCGCAGCGCTAGGGCTGTCTTTTCCGACTTGCCGCTTTCTCAAGACGAGTACAACATTTGGCGATACAAAGGCTAAGATAGATAGACAGGGGAGCCCCTTGGCAACTATCATTAAGGAGGTCCTAATCTGCTGTCATATGAATTACGTTAGAAATCGGCTGCACCACAGTTTGAAAGACAGCTAGGGAATTGAGATCGGATTAGAGTCCGGCATCCCATGCGTTCGGATAGTACTCCGGAAACGCACTGACTTCGCGATGATCGTCCAATAGACCAAGTATTTAACATTCCGATGTCCCGGGGAAAAAAAAGCAAAGGCTACAGAAATGAGCCAAAGGAGCAGGATCACAATACCAGAATCCTATAAGAAATACCCAGGCAGCCACCTTGAACTCGTAAGATTTGCCTGATCGAAAAGGCGGTGGGGCCCAGGCGTACCTTTGATCTGATAAGAAATGACTCAACTAACTAGATACACTTTCCCATATACTCCTCCAAAACTCGTTTACCGCGTAGGAAGCTGCAAATCATTGGCTTTAGGAATTTCTTGATACTACCTTGATCTATCTTCAGACATCACGCCCTACCCTGTGACCTCGCCATCATCGCTGTGATCTCACCCTCGCCGCCACAATGCGCCCCCCGCTCCGGATTGCCATTCTTGAATGTGACACTCCAGTAGAAAGCGTGGACAAAAGGTACAATGGCTATTACGGGCTATTCACTCAACTTTTCCGCGAATGCGCCAAGTCCCTGGGATTAGATCCCGAAACTGGCCTTGATATTACTCGGTGGGACGTTGTGCATGCGCAAGAGTACCCTAAGTTGGAGGATATAGATGCGATCGTGCAGACAGGATCCAGTGAGTTCCCTTAGTGTACCAGAGCACTGGACCTATACATATGCCGCTTTATACACTGATAACGTACCCTCCATTCCGCATTGTGCTAACTCGTCGTATCTTAGAACATGACTCTTTCGAAAACGACCCCTGGATTCTTAAACTAGTCGAATACACTAAGAAAGCCCTTGAAGACCACCGTGTAAAAGTCCTCGGCATCTGCTTCGGACACCAGATCATCGGCCGCGCACTTGGCGTCAAAGTCGGCCGCGGCAATGCCGGCTGGGAGCTTGCCGTCTGCGACATGGACCTGACAGATCAAGGGAAGAAACTCTTCGGAAAGGATAAACTGGTACGCAGTGCACCCTTATGGCTATTCGCCTTTATAATCTGCCTCAAACATTCAATCCATACAACTACCACCTTTTCCATGCACCCAATATCTTTACTACCTCCCATTCTAACAATGTGACATCATAGCGCATCCACCAAATGCACCGCGACATCGTCTTCAACTGTCCCACGAACGTGATTCCACTCGGTTCCTCACCCAACTGCGCCGTACAGGGCATGTTCCTGCCGGGCAAATTTATCACAGTCCAGGGTCATCCGGAATACAACGGGTTTATCGTTAGCGAGATCGTCAACAAACGGGCCCGAGCTGGCATTTTCCCGAAAGAGCAGAGTGATGATGCATTGGCGAGGGTGGACCTGGCGCATGATGGGTTCGATATTTTGGTCGTTTTCTTGCGGTTCTTGCTTGGGGAGGTGGAGTAGATACCCGTCTGCTGGAATCAACTGCTGGACGGCTGGACTGTGGCATAGGTTCCTTTTCACCTAGACTTCTCTATAGAGATGGAATATAGAGAAGATGAATGATTGTATATATATTTTGGGCACATACATTCTATTCTTCAATAAAAATAGATCCTTAATCTTGATTGACGACTATAAAGCACGCCAATAGACCAACGCAATGCAGTCAAGGTAGACACTCTACCCACAAGCATAACCCATGCAAGTAAACATACCGCAAATCAGGTATATAGCAAATAGTGACACAAACAACGCCCCAATTAATCCTAAGCAAAACCAAACCCAACCCAAGACAAAACTCCCCTAATCGAAAGAAATGAAACAATCATCACCCACTAGCACTCGGATCCTCCCTCTCCAAAAATGACGGATCCATCTCAACCTTCCTCTCAAACTTAGACCACCAATCCCGGAAAGCCTTCAACGGCACCGCATCCTGATCACTTGAGGCAAAGCTCGCCAGGAAGTTAAACGCATTCCCGATAATCCGCTGCGCGAGCACCTTCGTCGTAATCTGTCTCGTCTGCCGGACTAGCTGGCCCGAGGTGCCTTTTTCTGCCTCGAGGGCTTCGAGCTGCGGTGCGACGGTTGCGATGGGTTCGAGTGAGATGCCCAATGTTGCTGTCATACCCAATTGGAGGTTTGGGGGTGGGGATGTGGGGAGGATTGACGAGGGTTTTTCGTTGGCGAGGGCGCCGATGAAGCGGAAGCCGTTGGGGTCGGAGGGGAATTGGATGTAGATTGCGGCGGCTGTGTCTGGGGGCAGGACAGTGCCGGGGAGGAGGAAGACGACGATGTCGGAGAGGTCTGGGGTGAGGGGGATTGTGAAGGCGAATTTGGTGGATTGGCCGTTGGGTTGGGGGTCGACTGGGACGATGTCTGTGAGGCAGGGTCTGCCTGGGATTATGACGGAGAACATCGCGGCGGAGGGGGGCGAGAGTAAATAGTTTGGCAGTTAGAACAATGCGATAAACAAATGCAAGTGGGGTATCTTGATGGTTGGAAGTCAAAGAATGAATGAATGGATGATGATTAGAATGGTTAATAGTTTGGTTATAGAGGCAATTGGGGGAAACGATGCATTGTTAAGCTGTGTAAGAAAGAACGATCGTAGTAGCTACTGGAGCTGGTGAGAATTTCCCTGGGGGTTCCATATGATAGAATCGCAAAGAAAAGCTTGGTGACGAAATCGTCCGCCTGCCCTTATCGATAAGGGCTGTGGACCAGCCTAACCTGTTACGGTGTCTGGGTTCATTCAGCTGGTCACTGGTTTTCTGAGACACATTGTTTTGCATGTACTGTATGCATGCATAGTTGGCTTTTAATTTACACTAGACGTGGTTACATACACTATGACCAAATCTAACCTGGAACTGGTTGATGAATGCGATAAGTACTCGGTCCCTTCTTTTCTTTTTATTATCAATTACCAACATTCCAGAACAGATTCCCATATTACGAAGACAACCCCGCATTTTATGCAGCCCACCTGAAGAAACACCACGCCTTCAAGGTCAATGGTTGCGATGCGGTATTGGGATACATACTCAACTGGGCCGTCACCCAGTTCCGCTGGCCCGCCGAACACTGGGTGGTGGACCCTACAAGCCAAACCGTCACACTGAACACTGCTGCAGATGCAACCCCAGAACAGCGCAGTAATGTCATGGCTGAGACCCTTGAAGCAGAGGCCAAACGGGGAAACTTTGAGATCCTAAAGGGGTGGCGGAACGAGAAGTACCCCATCTATGCTCCTGGGGGTAAGTTCTTGCTTGAGATGGAACGATGTGCCAGCCCGTTGTTTGGCATTGTGTCGTACGGTGTGCACGCCACTTGTTATGTGGAAGACGAGCAAGGTATGCAGTTCTGGGTGCCCAGGCGCGCAAAGACCAAGCAAACATACCCTAGCATGCTTGATAATTCCGTGGCCGGTGGAATGAGCACCAGCGAACGTCCCTTTGAATGCCTTGTTCGCGAAGCAGAGGAAGAGGCATCCCTGCCTGGGGACGTCGTCAGGGCCACTGCCAAGTCAGTAGGTTGTGTTTCGTATTTCTATGTGCGGGACTCTCGGGCCGGAGGCGAAGTCGATCTGCTACAACCAGAGGTAGAGTATGTCTACGACATCAAGCTTAGCCGGGACATTGTCCCAAGTCCCAGTGACGGCGAAGTGGAAGAATTTAAGCTGTATACCGTCGAAGAAACAAAGAAGGCTCTAGCGAACGGGGAGTTCAAGCCCAATTGCGCAGTCGTCTTCATTGATTTCTTCATCAGACATGGCATCTTGACCCCCGAGAATGAACCCGACTATTTCCAGATTCTAACGAGGATGCACCGCCGCTTTGAATTCCCAACAGCGTCACATTTCGCAAACTGAGCGGCTACCAATCTCGAATTAATTGGTAGATGAGAACACATGCTGAGAATTGTTTGATATTCTATTGATATACCCAATCACCAATCAAACGCCGACGCTGCAACCAAACATCCCAATTAATGCAAACTTTTCTGTCAGTCCGAAGGTCGACCCCGGACACAGATACCCATGAATTCTCGATACGAAGTGTTGATGGGATGATATCTTTCCTCGTTTCCTTCATTTCTTCAGAAGTAGATACACATAGTCGATCCTCAAGGGCGCCAGCTTCTTGTAGGGTCCTTCAAGATAGAGCAACAGTCCACCGAAAGAGATGAAAACCGCCCTGTTAGTGGTATCAATTAGCCGATGGCCCCGGTATTGGATCGCTATGCGCATGCGACCAGGCAGATCCAAGTACCATGAAGGTCTACTTACATGTTTCCTTGAGTAGTTCCCTCCTCAAAACGGTAGACCTTTCCATGGCAAACATAATCGTAGTCGTTTGCCAGGGTCTGCTCGCCCATACCGACCTCTCTCCAGCCCTTCGAGCCAGTGTCTTCCTTGCCGTCCAAGGAAAGGGTCGAAGCGAGAGCCATAGATACGGACTCCCCAGTCGTGCAGGGATAGAGCTCAGTGTTGACATCGAGAGTAAAGGTAGAGGTGTGATCAGAGGACGTGCAGGTCAGGCGAGAAACGCGATCGTATTTCTGCTGGTTGACACCAGTGATGGTGAAGGTGTCTTCGAAAAGCAATGGGTCCGACATGATTGCGACAATGTAGCGAGAGATCAAATATCTCGGCGAATTCGAACAGTATATAACGAAGGAATTGCTGAAGAGTCGCAAGTTCACAGAGTTGGGGGAAGTGGTAGAAGGTTCAATTGACGGGACGCGGCCGAAAACTGCAAAAGGAATCGCCGCAGCTTTTTTGCTCGACTTTTTAGCGCACTGCCGCTTTTACTCCGCCCGGAAGCTGCCCCGCAGCCATTCCTCAAAAAAAGTATTCAAGAGCAACAACACCTTCACAAGTCAACTACAGCACAGGATGTCCTTTCGCAAAAGAAATATTGGCCTGTCAACAGGCGTCGATCGCGCCTCTGCTCTCAATTCTACTGCGCAACCGCAGCAAGCCGCGGCTGCCCCAGAAACAAATCCCGGAATCCGACCCTCCCCCGACGATGGGCGTCCGACTACTTCGACAGGTAGCCGATCGCTGGATAACCTCCTAGCTGGACACGGCGGGCTTCCCATTGGAAAGACTCTCTTGATTGAAGAGAATGGAACTACAGATTTCGCAGGCGCATTGTTACGGTACTATGCAGCTGAAGGTGTTGTACAGGACCAAAAGGTTCACGTTGTCGGCATGCCTGAGCAATGGGGCAGAAGCCTTCCTGGTTTGATAGGTCCTGCGGATACCGCAGATGAGAAACCAGCCAAGCGAAAGGGAGAGCGCATGAAGATTGCCTGGAGGTATGAGCGTCTCGGGGAGTTTGGGGCCGGGGTCGCTGGGTCAAGAGGTAAGGCATGAAATGCTATCTACAAAAACTGGGTGAAACACAAATGAGCCTAACAGATGCAGCGCCCGTCGCAACCACAGGAGATCAAGCTTCGCCCGCAGCGAACGGAGATCAGGCTCAGCAGCCAGCATTTTGTCATGCTTTCGACCTCACCAAACGTCTAACCCACCCATCCATCGCGAATATCCACTATATCCCACTTGCCCGCACAAATGAACCCCTCCTCATCTCAATCCATAAGCGACTTCAAGCCGCCATCGCCCAAAGTCCCCCCAACACGGTCCATCGCATTATCATACCTTCTTTGCTCAACCCCACGCTCTACTCTCCCGAGGCCAGCCAGCCCGAAACCATTCTGCCGTTTCTTCACTCGCTAAAGGCTTTGATGAGCGCACCCTCTGCGCGTGTCACAGCTATGATAACAATGCCTCTGTCCCTGTTTCCCCGCTCCTCGGGGCTTGTGCGATGGGTCGAACTTCTGAACGATGGTGTTATCGAGCTCTGTCCTTTTCCCCATTCTGCAGATGCCCTCGCAACCTCAGGCGCTGCGACAGCCGGTGAAGAGCCACCGCAAGGCGTGCTCAAAACCCATCGACTGCCTGTGCTACACGAACGGGGCGGAGGTAGTGATCAGAACGTTGGACAAGACTGGGCGTTTACTCTCAGCAGACGGAAGTTCGAAATTAAGCCTTTCAGTCTACCGCCGGCCGAAGGGGACAAGGAAGCCCAAGAAGGCGCGGGTCCAGGCGGGATGCCAAAAAAGGCGGATCTAGAATTTTAAGCTGACGCTGCTATGTTGAATGAGGGTGAAGGAAGTCCGCAAATCATTCTTCGTGGTCCGAATCTCTCAGCATATTCTCCAGTTCGATTTGTTCGGACATAGCGGGCCCGGAGCCAGCCATTCCTCGGAGATAGTCCCTTCCGTAGCCATCCATGCCCTCTCTGAGTGAGTCCCGCGTGAACCGAGAACGAAGGCGACTCCCTAGGCAAGACGATAGAGCAAGCCACGCTCCGAGGTGTCAACAATGGAGACCCGCTAGCGGTGGGGGAGTCACTTACCTAGGAATAGAAGGAGAGGCGCAAAGAACACCAAAAAGAGGAGTAAAAGGAAATTCATCCCGGCCACAGCTGGTCGTGTTACCAATATGCTAGCATAGGATAGAAGAGTAATAGAGGTTTCTTGTTTGGGCTGATCAGCAGTGCCGCTCCAGGCTTAGCGCAGCCATCTATGACACGTGATGCTGTATTGCTTGTTCCAGCGAGCTTTCCCTGATAGTCAGACTGATGCTTCTTCAACCCCAGCCGTCATCGGATCTATCCGATGAGGCTATACTCCAATTTCAACAGCAAGCTGCAGTGACAGGTGACGGGTCCTGCTCTCCAGTCTCTATGACGGGAAAATGCTGCCTCAGGCATAGAGAGCCCACCTTTCCATGCGACTAACGCGAAGAGGAAAGGCTCCGTCAGGGTTTAGCTTTTAAGAGCTTCTTCGCCCACCAAAATTTACATTTTCTCCCATCTCTTAAGACACACTGCCGCAATTGAATAGCTCTGGTTTTGCTGGCCAAGTTCCAGAGCATCTCTTCGTCTTGTCATGTACTCTTGTATTTGATGGTAAGTTACTATTTCTACTTTCTTAATATTGCCTGTCTTTGCATGATTATACAAATACTATAATCTGTCAATCCCCTGAAGCTCACTAAAATATCTCATTAATCGAGCATATGTGATTGAGAAATGTATCGAAAATGACTTGCATTCCTTATTTACCATGTTGATCTTGCATGTTTTGTGCGGAGCAATAAGCTAACATCAAGATCTGGTTATAGCAGTGCAATTGATAAACTTGAACATCTTCACACATAAACAAAATGGCTACGAAGCCCACCCTTCCCATCCCGATCTCGTATATCGCGGGTAACTACTATCTTTTCTCTATTGATGCCGTCACGTATTTGAGACGGGAGCATCACATCTGTGGTGTTCTGATTGGCACTCTGCCGCAAATCCCACAACAAAATGTCTTCCTGGGATTGCCGCTGGAGCTAATGCCGGAGGAGGCGATGCTGCTGGTGGAGAAAGGTGTAGCTTGCATTGTAGACGAGGTAAAAGTTCAGAACCAAGGCATGAAAGCCCTTATGGAGGCAGATCGCCAGAAGTATCTCCGTGAGCTAGAATCCCAAGGCCTCCAAGCTATGCGGCTGCAAGCCAGCCGGAAAGAGCAACAGAGAGAGAAAACGTTAAAGAAATTAGAAGAAAAGAAAGCCAAAGCTGCCAAATCAAAGAAATCCTCTGAGGATCCTGAACCCGCACCTGCTGTCGCTAATGGGCCTAAGGATGACCCATTGGTGGACCTCTTTGCAGACAGTCAAACGTCAAGCCATAGTCAATCCACCTCTCGACGTACTTCGACGACTGTCGCCCCGGAGAATGCCATGGGTGTCACGCCCGCAACGGCCCGTCCACCTCTCCCAGCGGAGCCCTCTGCTGAGCAGCTGCTGCCAATGCCTCAGGTTCCCTCGTCTTATCCCTTGTTCGCTCATCTTCATGCCGAGGGTTATTTCCTGTCCCCCGGTCTTCGATTCGGCTGCCAGTATCTTGCCTATCCGGGTGATCCCTTACGATTCCACTCTCATTTCTTGGTTGTCTCCGCCGAATGGGACGAAGAGTTCGATTTGATGGACATTATCGCCGGGGGTCGATTGGGTACTGGCGTGAAGAAGGGATTTATGATTGGAGGTGCTGAGAAGAAGAACACTGCCGATGAAGAGAGTGTGAGGACTTTCAGCATTGAGTGGGCAGGAATGTGAGATTATTGGCCTGAATTATCAGACTTTGACGGACTAGTCTTATGCTGCACATTGGCGATGCGGATATTCGTTCAGCAGATACGCTGTATGGAACGTGTGCCGTGGCCCTCGACGCTTCCTGGTGGAAGATGTCCCACCAACGGAAACGCCGCTGTTGATGCTTGATATACGTAGCCTACGAATACTATGGTTGTCGGTGAACATCCGTACTGGCGACCAATGCAAGCATACATGTGCTTGGCCGGGGTTAGTGGCATATGCTAACAGCTCGGTCTCGCCATTTGGCCCAGGGCACAGCCCTTTGACGATGCGACTTGTTATCAAGTCGAGTGTCAGGTCTCATATATGGCTGTCATAAGAGACTCACTATCAAATTGAAGTTCGACCATATCCTATGAACTCGAGAAGCAATTTTCTAGCTTAAATGATACCCATTGAATCACCTCAATAGCATGTGCGTTTGAATACTGGCTAATTGCCCAATCATAGCTCACGTCCTGTAGCATATGTAAGAGACAAGCTCAACATAAGTCTAGGAAAAGTAGATTTGTGGCCGTCGAGGCGCAGCATCTCTACTTTCGACAGTATAGTCCGAAGTAGGTTTGATGCCAATGGACGGCATGACAGGAGGCCGGAGGCTTGGTCCATGTTTGAGGGCAATGCGCAGGCGACGCCAGGAATCCTCTCCCATATCGACTGGCGCCAGTATTCTTTCGTGGCTGGCATCATTCCCTCAGCATCCGCGTTCCATTGCCAGCATGACTGCCGAATAAGCGCCGTCCTTTCGCTAGGCCTATCCCATCATAGAGTGTCGTCAATATTATAGAGTTATAAGCGATAGTATGACACCATCAATCAAAGATAGTCCACATTGCGCCACTTGAACTTCTTGTTTGCACGATCAACCGGCCGATTCAGAAACTGACTCCCATGAAGCTCAAAAGTAAGCTCCTTCCTAGAGCCGGAACCAGCATCTGTACTTGCGTCCTCCATCACATCCATCTCATCCTGACCAGGTGCAGATAGCGGTACCCGAAAGCGAAAAATCGTCTGTTCCTTCGGCAAAGCTATTGAAACCACCACCAATGTTAGCCTCACCAAACCCATACGCAGATAAAGAAGAAAATTATAAAAAACAAAA